CACAACCACACACACACACACACACACACACACACACACACACACACACACATACACACACACACACACACATACACACACACACACTACACAAACACACACACACACACACACACACACACACACACACACACACACACACACACACACATATATATATATATATATATCTGATCCGATCTATAAAAAACAAACATTCAACAGCAGTTCCTAGACTTATGCAGGGGTAGGTATATATAATATTATATGTTATATATTATATGTATTATGTATATACATATATATATATATATATATATAATATACATATATATATATGTACACAATACACTGCATATACACACACACATTACATACATATACCACATATATTATATATATATAGATATATATATATATATATATATATATAGATATATAGATATAGATATAGATATTAGATAGATAAAGTTATACGGACACGGTAGAAATTTTGACTCTGTTTATTGCATACAGAACTGTTTCGTGTGGAGCGAAAGCTCCACACTCATCAGTGCTAATACAGAGTATACTTATTTTTTTACTGTTTGGATGGGATGGGATGGATGGGATGAAATGGCATGCGATGGGATGGCGATGGATGGCATGGCATGGACACCATCTACCCTAACCCCACCATCTACCCTAACCCCACCATCTACACTAACCCCACCATCTACTAACCCACCATCTACCCTAACCCCACCATCCACCCTAACCCCACCATCTATCCTAACCCTAACTCCACCATCTACTAACCAAGCATCTACCCTAACCCCACCATCTCCTCTCCTCTAGTCTCTTTACTAAGCAAGCACCCCTTAGGATCCACCTAACTTCTAATATATAACCCCACCATCTACCTTACCCCAACCTCTCTGCGAATCCACCACCTACTCTATCCCTACCATCTAATGTAACCCCACCATCTACCCCACCCTCAGCCTCTCTACTAAGTGGATCACCTGTTAGTAGTAGTTGCAGCGAGCTACTGTTGACACCTCGCTCGTGTTGCAGTGCTTCGTGGAAGCGCCGCACGCCGCTGCCGCTCACGTTCAACCTCCGCAGCGATCGCAGGTCGGCGAACGTCGCCTCGCTCACATCGCCAACGTCGCCGCCGCTGTACGCAAACTCCTCGAGCGGCGGGAACCCGCGGAAGGCGGCCGCGTCGAGCGAGGCGGCGTCGCCGAGCAGGGTAAGGAGCAGGTGCTTGAGGAGCGGCGAGCCGCGCAGCATGTCCGGAGCGATCTCTACCCTGTGCGCGCGCAGCTCAAGCGTGTGCAGCGTCGGCAGTCGCCAGAAGGCGGCCGCGTCGATGACGAGATCTCGCGAGACGAGATCGAGTCGCAGCGAGCGCAGGCCGACGACGTCGGCGAACGCCGTCGCGTCGACGCGTTCCAGGCGTTCGCTGGCGACGCGCAGTTCCCGGATGAACAACCCGTGAAGCGCGGGACTCGGCAGAGCGACGTCGTCGTAGACGTCGATGCGGAACGTGTTGGCGACGATGTTCTGGAACGCCAGGGAGTTCGTGACGTCGGTGAGAGCCTCGCGCGACAGCGGACGCGCGCAGACGACGTCGACGCCCGCTTCCGCTTCCGCATCCGGTGCGGCGAGCGAGCACGTGCACGGCGCTATCGAGTCGACGTCCTGCGGGCAGACGTTGACGCTATCGTCATCGTTGCCCCTGGCGGCTTCGACGGGACGAGATGAGCAGACGAACACAAATACGAGCAGCAGAACTGTGCTGAGGCGGCGACAGTAACACATCATCGTCATCGCTGCGGCAGCACACGAACGAGAAGCGCCGGAGACGCGCGTAGAAAGAAAATATACGCAGAATAAATCCGTACAAAAAAAGCTGATCGAAATTGAGTAGAATACGTGAAGACCTAGTCGGAATATCCTCAGACGTGCACAGAAATACGTGGAAGCACAGTTTCCGACGCAATAACAGCAGCAATAGCAGCGGCAGCGGCAGCAGCAGCAGCGGCAGCGGCAGCAGCAGCAGTAGCAGCGACAGCAGCAGCAGCAGTAGAAGCGGCAGCAGCAGCAGCAGCGCACATTCACCGATGATGATGACGATGATGAAGATGTTATATTCACGTGCTATTCAGTACGCCACACGTCGTAGCGATGCTTTGATACATACAGGCACACACAGGCGCGCGCATAGAATTCACTTCGTTGCCAGATCACGGTGCGCACGACGTTCACTCACACCTATAACATCGTCATCCCTAATATTTCAGATATTAGCGCAGGTGCCGGCGGTCGTCTCATATCACCTAATCAAAACTAAGTGCAGGCGGGCATACACAGGCAGCCAGGCCGTGCTTCACCTCACAGAGCAAGTTTTACGTTACAACTCATAACGCAACACACACACACACACACACACACACACACACACACACACACACACACCACGCCACGCACGCACGCACACAGCACACACACCACACACACACACGCACGCCACGCACGCACACACACGTCACAGCACACACCACACACACACACACACACACACACACGCACACACACACACACGCACACACGCACGCACGCACACACACACACACTCACACACTCCCTTGATTCTACACACTCCCGTTATGGCTACACCGCAGTCTCGCTATAGGCTAGAAGCAGGCCAGTCCTTGATGCTTCCTATCTAGGGTCGTGGGCGCTCGTTACTGCGATGATGACGAGGATGCGTGATGATGAGCCCATCCACGTCGCGAGAGATGCGAGAGAACGGCGAAGCTCTCCTCTATATATTGCATATGTTCCTGCTGTATAACCTCGTGTAGGAACAGGGAAGGCACGGGCTGATCAATGGCGTCCAGGCGCCGACCGCAGCAGGGGGTGTTGTTGAGGGTGGTGTGGTGTTGCCTATGGCAGCGGGCTGTCTTACCGCGCACGTTAAATTCCGTTCCCGCCCAACCGTTGTCGCCCTCCGCATTTTCTCCGCTGCATGCATGCAGGTAAAATTCTCCGTCGCGTTTCTAGTCGACGGTGAAATAGCGCGCGGCGTATGTGTGTGGTGTGGTGTGTGTGTGTGTGTGTTGTGTCCTGTGTGTCGTTGTGTGTGTTAGTGTGCGGGTGGGCGCTCTGAATACGACAATTCTCTTTTAGTATAACCATAGCTGCCCCTCTGCCCCGCCCCCTCCCCGCAGCTACGGCCTGGATTACTAGTCTAATAGTCTGTATTTGTCAGGGAGATCACTTTAATGAACGAGTATTATGACTATTATCCTTGCAACTATATTTACTTTATGTCTTTTGGCCAATGAATAACACATATAATTGGCACGGGCACACATCTTGCGCGACGCATTCGTTAATTATAACGCATTGTGTTCACGTCACAATATCCTGCCGTCGGCGCCAATCAAGATTCGAACGGCGTCCCCTGTGTTTTGGTCGACACGTTTTGTTACATAAAGCACCGGCAAGTTTAGGAAGTATAAAGAAGGTTAGTAATAGAGCTCATGAAATAGTAAATTGTCATAGTCATGTGATGCAACTAAAAAAACATAATGCCTTTGTTGGGGCACTATGCTCTCATAGTGCTTGGCTTGCGGAAGGAATACTGAGAGTCATAGTGCGCGGATTAGTGCCCCAACAGCATGCATTAATATATAAATATAAAATGGGGGTATTATTATTATATATCAAAATGGACGAGACAAATTTCCCCATATTCTCAGCATTTTTTATTTTTTACTACTGAAAAAGCAAAAATCCGAAACCGAAACCGAACTGAAACAGCGATGTATCGTTACACCCCTAGGTGCGTTGTCGTGTGGCCCACTGTCTGTTTGTGTGTTATGTGTGGTGTGTGTGTGTGCTGTGCTGGTGGGTGTGTGGTTCGAGTGTGTGTGGTTGCGTTGTTGGGCTGTGTGTGTGTGTGACGGTGTGCTTGGTGTGTTTGTGTGTGTGTGTGTGACTGTGTGTGTGGTGTGTGTGTGTGTGGGTGTCTGTGGTGTCGTGATGGTGTGTTGTGTGTCCGTGTGTGTGTGTGTGTGTGTGTGTGTGTGCTGTGGGTGTGCTCGCTGCCATACGTGCTGGTGCCAGTCACGTGCGGCCGTGCGGTGCCTAGCTTGCTTCGTCTGATGCGCGATGCGCGCTGTATGTCAATTTAATTATGGGAAAAATATAGGTACGTACGGTGCGTGCTTGTCCGTTGTCTGTTGTGCGTATGTGCGTGCTGTGGCGATTGCGTGCTTGGTGCGTTTGCGCACGGCGTTTGTAAACATAGAACATACAGCTAATAATACATGTCATATTACATACTAAATAGAATAATACACTCTATTATAGTTCTTGATATGAACTATATATCATGGGCGAAATAGCTAAGCAAGCCGAGGAGTTTTATCAGCAGTTCTCGTAACAGGGCCCACTGTGTTCACAGTACGCGAACTCTATAATCGGCGCCTAAGGTTAATAATAACCTTCGATTTTGGGGAAATAAAGAAATTAATGCACATTGAACAACAGTTTAGTGTGTCGTTCTTTTATTGTACAGTATATACGGCTCGTAGGGTCTAGTCTTCCTGCCCTCTGTTGACCTGCCTCGTTTAGCTATTCTGACTAACCCTAACCTAACCCTAACCTTAACCCTAACCTCTGACCCTAAACCGTATATATATATTATATATTATATATATTTAGATATATATATATATATAATATATAGATAATTAATTCAGAAATAGCTAAACGAGCCAGGTCAAACAGTAATCAGGAGAAGACATAGACCTTATCTGCGTAAGTACATACCACAATCCGGCACATGTATCATCCCCATAAAACAGAGAATTTCATGATTATCCTGAAACAAAACAAATAACGTCCTGATGTACAGCGTACGTGTGCGTGCCCGTGCGGCTGTGCGGGTGCGGGGTGTGTCTGACGGTGCTTGTCGGGGATGCGTGGCCGCGGCTGAAGCGTGACGGCGTACATCGTGTGTGTTAATTATATGCAGAGGTTGCCGCAGTTAAACTATTTTGTCTATGAGAGGGGGGACGCACGGCGTACATGCGTATCAAGTTTCTTCTACGTGTCTTCTACGTTTCTCAATTACCTTCTTTATACGCTCTTTGATGCATGCCCCGTAGCCAAGGGGGATTCCAGGTTCGCACAACCCCCCCCCAGCCCCTCCCTCCGTAGCCAAAGAAAAAAAAAACTTTTTTCCCATTTAAAAATTTGCAAGAATTTCACATCAGGTAGGCCTATGCACCAGATCACTTCATTTTAGTGTAATAATTGCAAAATCTCCATCGTGCGGGAAGGGGGACATCCCCTCCCACACCCTCCCTCGGCTCGGTCGCTATGCTCCCTCGCTCGGTCGCTCACAAATTGGGTTGCTTTATTCACGCCCTCACAAATTGCCAACATTTAAAAACGAACCCCCCTAATATAAAGCTGGCTACGGGCCTGGATGGTATGTGTAGAAGGTCATCGCCATTGACCATGTAATCAAAAGCCAATTAACCCTCCCCCTTGATGTAATGCATCTATTTTTTTTTTAGTGGGGCCTTGCCCCCGCTAGCTACGGCCCTGTTCGTAGCTTCGGCTATAGCTACGGCTGTTCGTGTAGGTTTTGTAAGGACCTGTCGGACAGTACACTATAGCTGCCTACTTACAGTACGCGCGAACTAGACGCGAATTAATTAACATTTGCGTATTTGTAAGAAATAACAATAGTGACACAAAAAATGTATAGAAGTGTGTATTCTAAATATCATAAAAATATTATTCTTATTAGAAATGAAATACGGCACAAAAATAAAAAAAGTATCTTATCGTCCCTGGTTGGACTCGAACCAACAACCTTTCGGTTAACAGCCGAACGCGCTAACCAATTGCGCCACAGAGACTTACGATGCTAACCTTGGGACACATTGGCTATTTATGTATTCGGCTGATATCTATAAAGTGTATATACGGGTATTGCTTGTGTTATTTTATATAGACATGCCTCTGTCGTTTCGAATAAAAACTGTCAGAGTAATGAAGTTGCCAGGGGCATATTGTCTACCGGTCCAACTCTACCAGTTTCATGAAAACTCCTATCACCGCTCACTTAATGCTTGACGTAATGTAGCTTAGTGGCGCCATCGAACGGCTAAAACCATCATCATCTCATATCTTATTATTGTTGCCCACCCTTCTATTTCCTAATCTTATACTAGTTGTGTGACATATCAGGCTAGACGTGTTTGCATTTCACGTAATACTACATAATTATTACGTCTTTAATAATCGGTTTTATTATTATGGATGACAGAAATTAGATAGACATTTCAAAGAATCTGTGATTAATGCAAGGGTACCAAGCAGTTGCTAATCAAAATGCATATTTCCTACATGTGTAGCTACTATCTGGGTTCATATAACCGATCAGTTATTATTTTTATTGTTTTTGTTGTTGTTGTTATTGTTGTTGTTGTTGTTGATTATGATAGTTATTATAATGATGATGGTAATGATGACGATGATGATGATGTTATTGTTATTGCTACTGCTGTTACTGCTGTTGTAGTTGTTGTTGTTGTTGTTGTTGTTTTTGTGGCTGCTGCTGCTGCTGCTGCTGCTGCTGTTGTTGTTGTTGTTGTAATTTGGACGTCGTATCTAAATAATTTAATAATAACATGGGTGTTATCTTGACATGCTGTGTGCCTTTAAAAGTAACGGAAGATAGGTAACCTAGGCTTCAAAGCAAAACTAAGCACGTATATGAAACCCGTGGAAGCCAATATACCCACAAATTAGTAGATTATGTGAACAACCGCTCATTTGTGTTTTTCTTGTTCGAAGAAATCTCCTACTTATTCTTTCGCACTTTGCGTGCGGTGCAGTGTATATATACTTAGACGTAGATCACGGGCCAATTGTTGCCATTGTGTTAGGTAATTTCAGCACAGTGGATTTTAATTAGAGCACAATATGTAGTCAGTATTGGAACGCTGATTTTCTTTTACTGCTGGCAAACGGGGAGAAAATAAAGATATAGCGTGAGTAATTAGTTTAAACCTTGGAGTAATAAACTAATTACTCCAAGTTTAAACGTGTCGTAAATCGTGTGCGTATTTGTTAACACACAAAAGTATCTTATCGTCCCTGGTTGGACTCTAACCAACAACCTTTCGGTTAACAGCCGAACGCGCTAACCAATTGCGCCACAGAGACTTACAATGAAGTCCTTCATACACGCGTGCGTGCATGTGCGTGCACGCAGTATTAATATCAATGTAAAATATATCTTATCGTCCCTGGTTGGACTCGAACCAACAACCTTTCGGTTAACAAGTATGCGCGTGTATGTAATAATTATGGGAAAAATATAGGTATCCGTATGTGCGTGCTTGTCCGTATGTGCGTGCTTGTGCGTATGTGCGTGCTTGTGCGTATGTGCGTGCTTGTGC